TTTCACTACAGTTTACACTTAACATAGAAACTTTGCATTGACTATTTAATTAGTCAGTTACCTGATACTTAACATCCTTAGTACAGCTTTCATAGAGCTGCCTGCCCCCCATGCTGCTGACTCTGTATCAATGGGAGTGCGGGGAGGGCAGATGGGAACTGGTGCTTGCCGGGAGCCTGCTTAAGCCTGCTTAAGTCCCCCTGCGTGTACACACATAACCGCTAAACAAAACATGTTTGATAACATCCCTATTATGTGAGGAAACATACTTTGAAGTCCCAGCTCTGTGTCTGCCATCTGATCCTGCAGTGTGCTTTTTCATAATCTAGAGGATGGTAATGTAGGTAGTATTGGAAATAGAGATTAATAATTAGACATGCATGATCATTGTGCATAGATATTGCTTAGCAGTTTGAAATTCTGTGATCAAATTTCTGATGATAAAGCTGAAACCGTTTTCTAATCTGTCCTCTTCTGTTCAATACATGCTTAAGGCAGTGGTTCTCAAACTGCAGTCTGAGATGGAGGACCACTAGTGGTCTGTGGGTGCCTTCCTGGTGGTCTGCAGCTCAAGCTGAGCCCCGCTCTTCATCCCTCTGCATTGGGGAGCCCACACTGGCACTCCAGCCTTGCCTTCCACACCCCTGTGAGATTGAAGTGCCAGCTTCCTGCAAGGGAGAAAGAGAAAGCTCTGAGCCTTGCTGCGTGATCCAGCTCCTGGAGAAGAAGTGTTCAAGCCTTGCACTCCCTCTCCCCTGGCTGGGGAAACAGCAGCCTGTGGGATCGCTGCCTGGAGGCTTTGCTTGCTGCTCCCATTGCCCAGATTCTGTGCCTGAGGCCGGGGTTCAGGATGCCGTGCCTGAGAGCGGTGTGGGACACGAAGGCAAATAACTGCCTCACCATCATCTCATGCCCAGCCCCTTGCATCCTACGGCTGAGATTCCTCATCCTCAGCTTGCCCCTGGCCAGGCACCCATTCCCAGCCTGCTCCTGCACCCTTCCCACTGGGCAGACACTCTACCCCCTTTTCCTGCACTCTACCTCCCATCCAGAACTCACCCCCTCCTGTACCCCACTTCCTGCCCAGATTACTCTCACTGGCAGCCCTGTCCTGCATACTGAAACCCCCATTTTTGTCCCAACCCAGAGCCTGGGGGGGGTCCACAAAATTCACTGACCCTGGAACCCCAGAAGAGTAAATCTGGCCATGGGGAAGCCCTGAATATTAGTCCTCCCTGTCTCTCTCTCCCAGTGGGGCTGAGGTCAAGGTTTTATTTTGTTCTGCTTCTCACTTGTGTGGTCCCCAGCTGATTTTTCTGTGGATCAGTGGCCCTTGACCCAAAAAAGGTTCCCCACCCCTGCCACAAATAAAGAAAACATAGGATCATTTTGTGTTGAATATTAAGTTAATATTTTACTTTATTTAAAATGAAGTTTGATAAACTAACATGTGAAAGTTAAAGTGCTTAGTATGTTTAATAATTTAAATTAATATTTTCTTTATTACTGGTTAAATTAAACCGTTCTCCCTAGCTGCAGCACTAGCAAATCATTCGGGTGTTATGTAATTAATGGCAAATTTCCATTAGCAACTGGTGGTTCATGGAAAGGTTTGCATTGAGCCAGGAGGGCTATGGGCCAAAAAGTGTGAGAACCACTGGCTTAAGGTAAAGTGCTTTTCATATCTCAGAATGTGGCATATCACTGGCAATTACAAAGCAAGATGATCTCACTGAACTGCAGGCTGCTTATAATAGATCAATTTGTGCTCTGTTAATCTCCACTCACGCAAGACTTGGGCGGGCTTTTTTGTTTGTTAGTAAGGATAGGCATAAGTATGAATGTATTGCCTCCCTATATATTTAAAAAAAACCTCTCTTCCCACAGGACAACAGTGACATTATCACGTCACTCTGCGTCCTGCAGATCCTCCTTCCTCAGTCACCTGACCTCCTCTCTGGCTAACCCCATTAGCTCAGAATGCGGCCTGTACCGCTGCAGCACTTCTCTGCCAGCCGAAGGGGACCAAGAGAACGCGGCCTGCATTGCTCTGGCTCTTCTCTGTCAGCTGGAGGTGGGCCGAGCGGCCTGGGATGGCTGTGGAGAAGGGAGTGTGGGCTGAAAGGCTCGGGCTGGCTGTTGGAATGGGGCAGGCAGAGGCCTGGGCTCCCCTCCCCAGCGGCGGAGGGTGGGGGCAAGAGGCTGTGGGTGGTGCAGCCTGCCGACTCCCAGAGATGGGAGGGGGGGAATGAGCGCAGTGAGCAGGAGGCACAGCCCCCTATAATAAAAAACTCTCCGCTTCTTGTGTTGCCCAGCACTTTGGATTTTTCTTCTGTATTAAATTCAAATTTCTTTGCAGCCAGATCAGTTGAGAACTTTCAGAAGGACACAAACATTTATACAAGCTCCTGAATGTCCCATTAAAGTAGTTGAAAGTCTGTTTGTAGTCACTCTTGGCTAGTCAAAGCACATAATTATTTCTGGGCATTTCTCCCATTGGAACTCAATGCTGGCTTTATTAAAGGAGTAGAGTGAACATAAGAATGGCCATACTGGCTCAGACCAATGGTCCATCTAGCTCAGTATCCTGTCTGCTTACAGAGGCCAATGCCAGATGCCCCAGAGGGAGGGAACACAACCGGTAATCTTCACGTGATCTCTCTCCTGTCACCCATAACATAAAGTGCCATAACTTGCTTTGTTACTTGGCATTTGTCCAAACATAAGCTGGAAATGAAATAACTAGATAGTTCTAGATCCAAACCTTTACTTTATTTCAATACAGGATTGGTTTATTTAACTGTAGTTCAATCAAATAGGACATACTTAATCCATAATAAGTGTCTACATACACACTTGCATCAAAATAACTGAAACTGTGAATTCAGACTGATAAAAGCCTGGACTAAACACATTGTTTCCCCTGTTAACTTAAATGTGTGATTCTGCATTTAGACTGGTGCAGTTTTGTGTGTGGACAGTATTAGATCAGGTTAAGCATGGCTTACGTTGGTTTTAAGTTGTGCCTGTAAAATGTGTGATTCTGCATTTAGACTGGTGCAGTTTTGTGTGTGGACAGTATTAGATCAGGTTATCATGGCTTGCGTTGGTTTTAAGTTGTGTCTGTAAAGTACACACTTAGCTCACTAGCCCATGTTGTGCTCTCTTCACTGCTACTGTTACCTATACAAATTGAAGTCAAGCTAGCTTGGGTAGGCTAAGCTGTGAAAACACACCTTTAATGTTTGCGATCCAATGCAACCTGATAAAGGACAGTAAGTGTGAGATCAGGTGTTATTTATAACTTGTGGAAAAGAGCTGGTGAAACAACTGATTGTATGTGTAATTGAGAAGGACTGACAGAATTTTGCTGCATGTAATCTATTGTAACAGACTGATCTCTTCAAACTAAACATATGGGATGCTCAACTTACTATAGGCTGTCACTGAAAGGAAGATTGCTAAAACAGTGCAGCTGGTAGATGAACTGGTAGGTGCAGAAAGGAAGTCAGAGATGCACTCTTACTAAGGGGACACCATTAGAACTTTGGATATGTTATATCAGCGAAGCTGTACATTTAGGGCAAGTCTACACAGCAGAGCTAAAGCTAAAATAAACTACACAACTTGAGCTACATCAATTGTGTAGCTGAGGTCGAAATAGCTTATTTCGGCTTTTGGCACTGTCTACACAGCAGGAAGTCCAAGAAAGAGCATTCTTCCTCTGACTTCCTTTTCCTACAATAAGGGTACGTCTAAACTACATGGCTCCGTCGACGGAGCCATGTAGTTTAGACGTACCCTTATTGTAGGAAAAGGAAGTCAGAGGAAGAATGCTCTTTCTTGGACTTCCTGCTGTGTAGACAGTGCCAAAAGCCGAAATAAGCTATTTCGACCTCAGCTACACAATTGATGTAGCTCAAGTTGTGTAGTTTATTTTAGCTTTAGCTCTGCTGTGTAGACTTGCCCTAAATGTACAGCTTCGCTGATATAACATATCCAAAGTTCTAATGGTGTCCCCTTAGTAAGAGTGCATCTCTGACTTCCTTTCTGCACCTACCAGTTCATCTACCAGCTGCACTGTTTTAGCAATCTTCCTTTCAGTGACAGCCTATAGTAAGTTGAGCATCCCATATGTTTAGTTTGAAGAGATCAGTCTGTTACAATAGATTACATGCAGCAAAATTCTGTCAGTCCTTCTCAATTACACATACAATCAGTTGTTTCACCAGCTCTTTTCCACAAGTTATAAATAACACCTGATCTCACACTTACTGTCCTTTATCAGGTTGCATTGGATCGCAAACATTAAAGGTGTGTTTTCACAGCTTAGCCTACCCAAGCTAGCTTGACTTCAATTTGTATAGGTAACAGTAGCAGTGAAGAGAGCACAACATGGGCTAGTGAGCTAAGTGTGTATCTAGGTAGGGTCCATACTGCAGTTGTATTACCTGCTTTGTAGCCTATACTGCATTGTCTTCACTACTGTTACTCTCTCAAACTGAATTCAGACTAGTTCATGTAGACTAGCTTCTGCACCTTTTACTGTATAGGCATACCCCAAGAAAGCTTTGAGGGTGTAGAAAGGAATAGACATTTGTCATCAGTGAACAGTACCTCATGGCAAAGAGACTGAACCATCATGTTTTTCTTGCTGTATTTTGTGTTGTTACTATATGTCTAATAATGTATACTAATGTGTATCTGGAGTGACTCCATGGACGACAATTAAAAGTTCCAGACAGACACTGGGGAAGTTAATGTAGAAATCAACATTATGACTGTCCTATAACTTGACTTCAGAATCACACAGTTGCGACGGGTAGAATCAAAATCTTAGTGTTGACCACATTAAAAGGGAGAGATTTCCTTTGTAAATGTATTTATGTAAAAGAAGAATTTACACTCTCCTCACTTTAATCATAGATTGAAATTTTGGAAGTGTGACAATGAGAGAATCAACATTAGGAGTAATCATAGACTGTGACATATCTAGAAACAAGCTAACAGAATGATTTTCATGTCTTATTTATTCTTTTAAGTTCTACATATTTTGTTTTAGAATCCATGCCCGCTGTGTGATGAAGCAAAAGAAGTGCTTAAGCCATATAAAAACAGGGTAATGTAACAAAATACTATGTATATTATATAGAAAAAAAGTAGTTAATCAGGAACCTTCCTTTGTAAAGAAAAAATTGCTTGATTTTATTTGCATCCATTAGTCTTTCATGGGCAACCTCTTCAAGAAGGTTTAGTGCTGATTTCCATAAAACTCATTTTTTTAAACATTTTGAGACTCCGTAACTAAAGGAAGTGGTGACTCCAGTATTAGCAAAGCAAACCAACGTATACAATGTATACAGCTATTTTAAAAACTTTTGCTGCTATAATATCTCTCAGGTTTATAATACAGTTTGCAGCAAAACTGGTGTGCGGCAGGTCTCAAATATTCTTAGTCCTGGGTCAGCTGAAAGTACTTTCCAACCATTATGCTCCTCAACTAATTTCCTCTCAACTGTCTGAAATTTGAATACAGAGCAAGTGGTGCAAGCAATAGGGTTGCCAACTTTCCTGACGGGACGGACTGGATACCATTTGCAGCACAGGCGTGTGATCGGGAAAGGTGGCAACCCTAGCAAACAGTAACAGACACAAAGAAAAGCTGGACTCATGAGCAAAACAGGAAATGCCTGTTGCCACCCGCAGAAAGAAAATGACTGAGATCATATGTGATAAGTTCTCCATTGGGGATTCAGGGCACCGTGCTGGGCTAAACATTCAAATTTTTAGAATGTTTGGAAGTATACAAGCAAAGTTTGTGGCTACATCCATTAAGTGCCTGCAAAATCTTAGTCCTGAGGAATTGCTGCAATTTTACCAAGTCTCCAAATGTAACAATTGTAGACTTTCCCTCCAGAACTAAAAATTTGTGTTTCTATGGGAGGACAAATATAGAGGCCTGATGGAAAACCTGACCTATTTTGTTAAAGTAAATCTGAAATTTAATGAAAGACAGCATCTTTTTTTAAAAGAGTCCAATGTTATCTTTAACATTGTTTTTCTTTTCAAAGTTTATTTTGCAGGAAGTGGATATCACCCTTCCAGAGAACGCAGTGTGGCATGACAGATACAAGTATGACATACCAGTCTTCCACTTAAATGGGCAATTCCTAATGAAACATCGGGTAGATGTTAAAAAATTTGAGAACCAACTTGTGAAGCTAGAGTTTCAAAATGATAATCAATGAAGAAGATGCAGCTTTAGATTGAAGGGATTTTTAACAAATGGCTTGAAACGGTTGTAAAAATTATCAAACCACATTTTCTTTGGAATGTAATGTATATATTTAACATTCAGTGTTTAGCTATTTGATTTATATTCCATTTTGTAGTAATGATGAAGCCCGTCTGACTGAATAGGAACTCTTCATCTTCATCTGCTATCCTTGATGGTTTTGTTTTTCAATGAGGGAGTAAGTGCTATTTCACAGCAGCAGATAAAATGAAATGCATTTTCAGATCATTTATACACCCTGCACTGATAATAAAGGGATGTTTAAGTTATGTCTGTATGAAGCTTCTTCTGTGAGACTTTCACACTGCAGCCCAAATGCTCATTTTGAAGTAGAGAGGAGAGCTGTTATAAGTAGGGAGGGGAATTTTAAAAATCCCACCAAATGTATATATACTTGGATAGAATCGTACCTTTTTAACACTTGGATTTAGTAGTTATTCACCCATGAAAACTGAATGTGTGTCATTTTTTTAAAAATTGGATAAACATATTACACTTAAGCATAAAATATCTGCTTATGTTAAACAGGGAGATTTGAGCTCTTTAGTACTCAAGTAAAAGTGTAAGTGAAAGTTAAATTAAACCAACAGGGCCCAATTTTTCCTTGAAACAAGATTTAACATTGCAAATATGCCTCTCTATGCTAGCTTCTGTTTTCATTTTACTCTCTGGAATTAAAACACCATAAGAGTTTCCTTGTAAATCTGCTGGCATGAGATAAGGTAGCTTCTCCTTCAGGCTCAGGTTACACTGTTAAAAAAGAAAACATGCTAGCATGTGGTTCTCTGCCATAATTAGGGATGCCCAACTATGGCATACAGGTTTTTTTCTTAAGTTGCCATGGGGCACAGAAAACATGATTCTCTAATTGTATTATGGGAGCAGTATTTGGATTTAGGGTAAACAGTTTTTTCAGAGTATAGATTGGCCCTTACATTCTCTTGCAAAACTCAGAAAACTGACATTTTATTCCCATCAGTGACTTCATTGTAACTTAACGTAGTGATTGGCAAAGAGGACACCTCTTCTTGCAGTGGGTCTGGCAGCTTCTATGAGTTCACAGCAAAGAATAATGTGGGTAGCTGCAATTCTTTAGTTAAATATGTTTGAGGAGGAGGATAAATTGAGAAAGTTAATTGTTCCTTAGGCTGAACAGTCTGAGAGTATGTCTACATTAGCCCCCTAGTTCGAACTAGGGTGGCTAATGTAGGCATTCAAACTTGCAAATGAAGCCCGGGATTTAAATATCCCAGGCTTCATTTGCATGTTCCCGGGCGCCGCCATTTTTAAATGCCGCGTAGTTCGAACTACCTACCCTTAAACTTCCTTGCAGGAGGAATATCGGTAGTTCGAATTAGGAGCTTTAATTCGAACTACCTAGTCCGTGCCGCGTGTAGCCGCGGGCAGGTAGTTTGAACTACGTGGCATTTAAAATTGCGGCGCTCGGGAACATGCAAATGAAGCCCGGGATATTTAAATCCTGGGCTTCATTTGCAAGTTCAAATGCCTACATTAGCCATCCTAGTTTGAACTAGGGTGGCAGTGTTAGACATACAATTTAGTTTGTATCTCAGGGTATCGGAAAAGTGTGATTTTTTTCCTTCAGTCTGTTTAATCAATCTGCCTAAACAAAAATAACTACATTTCTGTTCTCTTCAGTACTATTGTATCCGAGCACCTTCCAGAATTAGGAAGTTAAACAAGAAGTCTGTCTACCAAAGGTGGGGCTTCATTTTCAGTTTCAAAAAAAGGGACAAACACATTAAGCACTAGACAGACTTACCAAACTAAGATAAAGCATTCACTACAGAATTCCACATTAGTTTTGAGAGTTACAAAGCTTCAGCTCTTTATAGGAGTCCTCCAATCATTAATGAAGGTGGCATTAATGTAATTGATAATATATTACATTAACAAAAACAAGAACTCCACAGTAAAAACATCTGCTTACCCCAATAGCATAGACTTTGTTTTGGAGAACTCTCCCTTAGCAACTGGGATTAGCCATCTGACATACAGGATAATAGAAGGGCTTGTTGTTACCTCATGACTCAGAGATTACACCCAGGTGTTGCATCTGTATAAGACAAGGTTGCAGAATAATTTTTGCAGGGGATGGCACTTCAAGATAGGGATGTAATAGTATAGTTCATTAACCGATAAACAAAAGCTTATCGGTTAATGCTGTAGACTACACACATTCTCCACACCCCCACCTCCGCCAATAAATTTTTAAGCAGGCTGGCCAGCAGCCCAACTTAGTCCCGGCTTGCACTGAGTCTGGGACCTACTCCCATTTTGGATCTGCATTTAAAATGTATTAGGAGCCAGGTGAGCAGGCAGCCTGGCTCAGTTCCAGCTCATGCTGGATCCCCCTCTCCATCAGAGGTAGCCGCGTGGGATGATGGGGAGCTGGTTTTTAAGCTGTCTTTCTTCACGGACCAGTTCCCACCTGGCATCCTGAGCTGCTGCCTCTGATACAGAGGCAGCAGTGCGAGGTGGTAGGGGGCTCCTTGGGAGTGGGGCCGGAGCACACTGGGTGCTGACCCGCCCCCGGGGACTAGAATAGTCAACTAACTGATCATTCATGAGGTTAATAGACTATTTAGTTAACTGATATTTAACATCCCTACTTCAAGAATTTTGGTAAGTGGTCATGGTCTACACTTTGCTATTAATGAAGGGTGTGTGGGTTTGGGACAGAGTTTGTGCAGGTGAGAGCTTCAGGGAGGGATTGGAGTGCAGGAGGAGATGCGGTATCTGGGAGGGAATTTGGGTGCAAGATGGAATGTGAGGTCTAGGAGGGGGCTTCAATGCAGTGGGAATTCTGACCTGGCCAGGGATGTAGGAGAGGGGCAGTATCTGGGAGCGAGTTGGGGTCCAGGAGGAGATTCTGACCTGGGGGAGGAGGTTGTGGTGTGGAAGGGAGTGTGAGGTGCAGGCTCTGGCCAGGAGGTGCTTACTGCAGGCAGCTCCCATTCACTGGTACAGGGAGGTCTTTTAGGCACATGCAGTGGTGTCCCCGTGCCACTCAAAGCTGCTAGCTGGTACTGGGAAATGTTTCTTTCCATGCTACTTACAGGGAAGGGAGCAGTGGCCCTCTGTATGCCCACAAGCATTGCCCCAGCAGTTTCTATGGGATGTTTTTTTACCAGTGGGAGCTGTGAGGATGGTGCTGCAGGTGGAGGCAATACGCAGAGAACCACTATCTCCCACCTTCCAAGGAGAGTCCATGGACACGCTTGCCAGTAACCTTCAGCTGGGGCACTTCTGAGAGTGGTGTGGCTAAGGCCGCAGCAGGCAGACAGACTTGCCTAGTGCTCTGCAGGTCCGTGCGACATGTTCTTCCTGCCCCAGCCCAGAGGATCACGGCAAACTGGAAGAAAATGTATGGCAGACCAGATCCAGCCTGTGGGCCATATTTTACCCACCACTGGTATAACACACCATCACCTTGGCCTTTGATAAACCACTTCTTTCCCTTTTCATGCTTAAGTTCATTCCTCCAGTTCCTTGGCCTTGATTCTCAGCTGTCTTGCCACCGGCATGACCACTTTCAGCTGTGCTAAGTAAGGTCAAAGGGGATAGAAAATATAGTAGCACAACGAAAGAACTTGGCACAGGTATAAATGATGACACATGGGCCAATCAAATCCACAACTGGTTTCATCATCAAGGATACCAAAGCACCTTTTGCACTTGATGCTGAAATACAGTTCTGCCCTATTTGTAATAATTCAACCACCAATCAGGGTTGCTGAGAGTGGAAGTAATTTCTTTTTATTCTGTGCAAGGCCAAGGAGAATTTATAAAGTTTATACAACCCCTTAAAGAAAATTATTGAAAGGGCACCATTGAAGTGCTAACTTGTCCCTTTCCATAATATAGGCAAATTTCACAGCACCTGAGTTTTTCCCTACCAATTTTGGTGATAAAATAATATTACTATACAGTACATTTCATCAATAGATCTCAAAGTGTTTCGCAAAGACGAAGTATTATTACCTCTATTTTATAAATGGCATAGAGAAGTACAGTAGACTTCCGATAATCCGGAACCTATGGGACCTAGGTGGTGCCGGATTATCAAATATGCCGGACTATCAGGAGATACTATAAGCTGGTTATATATACTGTATATAAAGTATTCTTAACCCTTTTTATTGTACATACTGTATACAGTATACTGTAATGTTTTAGTTTTTTTAAGCCTTTTTTACCCTTTTTGCTCAGTTCAGCTGCTGCCGCTGTTACCTTGTGACTCATTTTTTGCTGAAGCTCACTCACTAGGCTCTTGCCATTTTGATGCCGGACTATCAGGAGTGCCGGACTATTGGATGTCGGACTATTGGAGTTTTACTGTAATTGGATTTGTCCTGACTCTCAAGATAGTTAGTGGTAGAGCTTGGAATAGTCAACTAGCAATAGCTGTCCCTGAGATAACAGTATTCTCCTTTGTTTTTATGATGACATCTGCTGTGTAGGAAATCTCAGGAGCAAAATTAAACCTTTCTGATCAGGTCAGAAGATGGCTTGTCTCTGCCTTATTCATTCAAATTGAGGGTGGAGAGTTTTATTGTTAACTATATATGGTATTTTTTAAAATACTTTTTCTTTTATTGTGAATGCTAACAAATATATAATATTATTTATATGGATTACAAATGAAATTATTTGTTAGAATATATATATATATATATATTCAGGCCTGCATGTAAAGGCCTATACTTTAAAAATGTAGATATATTATTATCGCTTAGCTAGTTACAGGGGTATAAAACAAATCAAAATTACAGTTTGCCTGCGTATTGGCTTTCTCTCACTGTGACAGTCTGAGGCCTTGTCCTTTGGTTAAGCAGCAGGGGCAGCCATAAGTCAGGAAGCGTACTGTCACAATCTCATATTCTAAACCACTCACACTGAAATAAGATTGGGCTGTTAGAAAGATGAGTCTGTCTCAGTAGTGCTTATCGTCATGACATAAAGATAAAAATCTTAGAATATTTAAAGAAAAATTGGCATGATAGCTTTCTGTCTGGCAAGAACCCATTGATCAATAGATGTAGTTGTGAAATCCTCGTTTCTTTATTGTTTTGTCTTAATGGTATCCACTTGTCTATTGTTTATCTGCATGGTTTCTGTCTGGTTCTTTGATTATTTCTGTCTGCTGTTTAATTAATCTTGCAAGGTGTAAATCAATTAAGGTGGTGGGATATAATTGGTTTGATAATCATGTTACAATACATTAGGATTGGTTAGTTAAATTTCAGTAAAATGATGGTTAAGGTATAGCTAAAAATATTATTATATATATTAAACAGGAAGCAAGTTGGGGAAAAGAAATAAAAAAATTGGGATAATTCTTACTGGAAGCTAAACCCAAGAAACATCAACTTGTCTGCACTTTTGGTCTTTTGTTACTGTGGCTCTCTTCTTATGCTAGAAGAACCAGGGAGTGGGAGGGTGAAGGGATGAGCCCTCTCATATTCTTTTCCTGTAGATAACTTGTATTGAGGAGATGGGGGCTTCACAACAGTCAACCAGATTGATTTTTATGTTAGGAAATCTATCTAGTCTCAGCAGAGTTAGACAGGTGTGTAGAGTTTGGAGTCTAAACGTATCTTTATTTTTTCCCAAATATATTAGTTACTGTGCTAGGCAACATAGAACAAGACAGTCCCTGCTCTGAAGAACTTGCAATATAAATATATGACTGGTATTTTTGCTGACTCTAATTTCACATCAGAGAGCACTCATGCCATTGTGCTAAACAATACACTTAGATACAAAGACTTTTTTTTTTGCCGAGGGAGGAGCGGGGAACAAAACCCAGCAACTAAAACAAACATCTGCAGCAACATTGGCAGCTAAATCATTTTTGTTTTCATTAAAAAAGAAAAAATACACAGCAAAGATGTTTTAAAAACATACATTAGTGATCAAGCTTGTATTTTAGACTTCGTGTCTCTAAAGCCTTGTATTTGTGGATGTTTCTTTGAGAAATTTTATTGCTGGCATAAGAATAGGCAACTTCAGTGGAATTAGTGGATTGACAGATATGATCACCAACAATTAATCTGATGCAGTTAAGTTCCTTTCTGAGGGATGAAATCAGAGGTACTTTTGACTATTGCTTTTTAAAATGTAATTTTAACGTTACAGTTCTCATTGACTTCAAAGGGAGTTACCTTTGCAGAAACGATCCACCATGTTTTAGGTGTGCTTTCCTTTAGAACAGTGGTTCTCAATGTTTGGCCCCGCTCAATTTGGTCCTTTCCATGGACCACCGGCCAACCACTCATGATGGCAAAATGGATGCAAGAGGGGGTAGGCAGGAAGGGTGCAGGACCAGGCTGAGGGTGGGAGAGTCTAGCCGGGAGAGAGGGTGCAGGAGTGGGTTGGGGGTATGAGGTATTTGCTGGAGGGGAATGTGGGGGACGCTCACCTGGCTTTGCACCCCTGACCGCTTCTTCCCCCTCCCCCATGAGGTGGATCCAGCCCATGAGGCTCAGGGCTCTCTTCCCTCCCACACACTGGACCAGAATGCCAGCATAGAGTTCCCACTGAGGGAGAAGGGAGTTGGCCATGGCCAACTTGCAAAATGGTTGCATACCACTAATGATACATGGATTACACTTTGAGAACCATTGCTCTAGAATCTTTGGGTATGTCTACACTGCATTCCTTTTTCGAGAGAGGGATGCAAATGCAGCTGAGCGAAATTGCAAATGAAGCTCATTTTATAAGGAGTAACGGTAATTTTGAAAGAAGGGTTTTCTTTCGAAATAACCGCATCATACAGCGTTTCTTTTTTAGAAATAGGGTATTTCGAAATAGCACCCGGATGTGATTATGCTAATGATACGTGGGAAATTCAAATCTGTGCTTCATTTGCAATTGGCTCAGCTGCATTTGCATGCCTCTCTTGAAAGAGGAATGCAGTGTAGACATACCCTTTGGCTATGTCTACACTGGCGCGATCTTGCGCCAGAGCTATGCAAATGAGGCTAAGCATGGAATATCGCCGAGCCTCATTTGCATATATGATGAGCCACCATTTTTGTGGAAGAGGCTCTTGCACAAGAAGGAGCTGTTTACACTGCCCCTTCTTGGCAAGAAAAACCCTCTTGCGCAATGCCGCTACACTGATTATTTTCAGGAATAACAGCATTGTGCAAGAGGGTTTTTTTGCGCAAGAAGGGGCTGTGTAGACAGCTCCTTCTTGCATGAGAGCCTCTTCTGCAAAAATGGTGGCTCATTATATATGCAAATGAGTCTCAGCGATATTCCACGCTTAGCCTCATTTGCATAGCTCTGGCACAAGATCGCACCAATGTAGACTTAGCCTTTGAGAATAGACTTTTGCATTGTGACTTTTCTGTCCAGGCAAACTGATTATGTCTTAAATGGATAATTGTTCTCTTATAATCAAAATTAAACATATCATGTATCAGTTTAGTGATTCATTTTCTGTCTGACATTTGACAGAGTAGAATGTTAGCAAATAAAGATTAATGCTCTATTCATGCAATTGTTTCTCTTCTCTTCTGACCCTCATGCTAGCTTCTGATGTATCAGGTTGCTTTCACTACACATTTGAACTTTGAAAATGAATAGGTTTCGTTACAAGCATGAATTTGTTAGTCTTCATAACACTCCTGTGAGTGGTTATTCCTGTTGGCCATACCTAGAAATGCTTAGTGACTTGTGTGTCACAAAGAGACATATGTGACCATAGTTGTTCCCAGATCAGTTCCTCTGGAGAACATTTATAGGAGTAATCCTACTTTGAAATGTAACATTTAACCCAATAACTTCTCCGTTAGTTAACAGACATGATTCCCTCTGTGTATTTAGTCATCTCTCCAAAACAAGTTTGTATTGCTTTATTACTTTTCATGCTGCAAAACCATGCAAAAATGAAATAAGCTGGATTCTCTTCTTTATTGTGCATTATGCAAAGAGCTGTTTACTAGAGGCCAATTAGCTTGCAAGCAAGGGAATGGCACAGATGTAACTTTAGGGTATAATTTGACTAGCAGAAGCTTTATTGCATGTGATGATGCAATAAAGGGGGGGCAAACTCTGAGGCCAAGCTGAGTTAAAATAAAAATATTCACTTTTTTTAAACTGCAAGACTGGATACTGAGACAATAAACCTCAGGGTAGCATTTGCACAGTTGCATTTCAGAGCAGAACTGCATTTCCAAGCTTTTTTTGGGGTGCACAGGTGTAAGAGATCAGTCCCTTTAAAACAATTAAAGAGCCCCCCCCCCCCTTCCTTGCTCTGCCTTGTGTATTTGTTTTGTTTCTTGGATTATACAGAATAGCTTCAAGGCCTTGTCTGTCTTGCTTTCCCTTACACATCTTTGCAACTAAACCCTAAACCAAACCAGCCCCTGGAAGGCTACAGAATGGATGTGTGCAAATAATCCATTGATCTATTTACATGCCCGGGCTGTTTAGCGCTTGCTCGGCGGAGATGGAGATGTAGAGGCAGGGCTTTGGTTTTCTGCTCTGCTCCCCCCCGGGGCTTTGACCTGGCGCTCTGACTGGCGGCTTCTCTCGAATGCGCCTCCGCGCTCTGGCCACCAGGGGTCCCAGCCACGCGCCGCCTCCCAGACGCCCTTTGTCCTGCTGCTTCCCCCGCGCGCCCACCTCCCCATCCAGCTCGGAGCCCG